GGATGAAGATCAACATAATCCTTTTGTACGACGGATCGCAAAGGCAGTGCTACCCAAGAAATTCAAAGCACCAGCAGTCCCAAACAAAGCAATAGCCTTGAGACAGGATTCACCTCCGCCCGGCGTAATCCACATGATATACAGCCTGCCGATGTCATCAACGGTGCACGCGATCCAGTCAAATTCTGAACCTCAGAACCAACTCACCCTGGCTAAATGGCCCCACGAAGCCAAGGGCATTACTTTTGATGATTTAGATTTGGCCAGAGTAACACTGCCCCACATTGATCCCTTGATAATCGAGTTACGCGTAAACCGGTTCATAGTTGAGCGTGTACTCATTGATCCGAGGAGCACTTCAGAGATTATGTACTATAAGATTTTTACCAAACTCAGCTTCTCCGAATCCGATCTCTCTCCGGCCCCTTATCCACTATTCGGCAGAGTATCCGTTGGGAAAAATCAGGTTACCCGTTCGAGCAGGCTCCTGAACAGTGGATGTAGAATTCTTTGTCGTCAAGCTGCCATCACCGTATAATCTCATCATGGGACGATCCTGGTTGCATACAATGCAAGCCGTGCCAAGCACCTACCATCAGCTGTTACGCTTCCCGACAGAATGCCGTATTGAGCAAATCCGCGGCTCCCAGAAATCAGCACAAGCATGTTATCTCTTTGCTGCCAAAACGCCAAAGGAACTGCAGGTGAATTCCATTGGGGTCCCGAATTAAGAGAGCCTCAACAATATTGGGCGGCTCCCAAATGAAAAGGCCACGGAAGGTTTCCCGGACAAGTTCTTCATGATCGGCTTCTCCCTAAATCAGGCCGACAGACAGCAGTTGGTCTCTTTCCTGCTCAATAACCTGGATGTCTTTGCCTGGACTTTGTATGAGATGCCAGGTATCGATCTGTCGGTTTCTCAGCACCAGTTGAATGTCGATCCAAAATGCAAGCCGATTATTCAGAAAAGTTGACGGTCAGGCGCAGAACACACTGCCGCCGTTGTTGAGGAGGTTGACAGGCTACTTGCTGCCAAGACAATTAGAGAAGTAACTTGCCCTACGTGGCTCTCTAATACAGTGGTGGTGAAGAAGAAAAATGGGATTTAGCGAGTGTGTGTCGATTTTACCGACCTTAACAAAGCCTGCCCTAAAGATTGTTTTTCCCTACCCAGAATTGACCAACTTGTCAATGCGACGGCTTGCCATCAACGAATGAGCTTCCTTGATACTTACAGAGGCTACCATCAGATCGCCATGCATCCAAAAGACCAGGACAAAACTGCATTTCTCACCCCAAGAGGAACCTACTGCTACAAGGTCATGCCTTTTGGGCTGAAGAATGCAGGGGCAACCTACCAAAGACTGGTCACCGCCATGTTCAAGGAGCAACGCGGCCACACTATGGAAGTGTACATTGATGGCATGGTGGTCAAGTCCAAGGAAGAACAGAATCATATAGCCGATTTAGAGAATACATTCGGCATTTTACGAAAATACAAAATGAAGCTGAATGCTTCTAAATGTGCGTTTGGAATCGGCTCCGGCAAGTTCTTGGGCTACATTGTCAACCACCGAGGAATCGAGGCCAACCCAAGGCAAATTACAGCAATATTGGAACTCGGCTCCCCCCGTTCGGTAAAAGAGGTTCAAAAGTTGATGGGGATGGCCGCCGCACTCAATAGATTCATCAGTCGGTCCACAGATCGCTGCTGACAATTCTTCCATACACTACGGCAGGGCAAGGCTTTTGAATGGTCTGTCGAATGTGAAGCCGCTTTCAACGGGCTCAAGACCCACTCAGTACCATTCTTGTCAACACCTACTGCTTGTGACCCGTTTATTTTGTATTTGGCAATCTCCGACAGGGCCATCAGCGCCGTGCTGATAAAGGAAGAGCTGGGGGAGTAGCGGCCAGTGTATTACGTGAGCAAGGCTATGGTTGACGCCGAAACACGCTACCTTCTACTGGAAAAGCTCATCCATGCCCTAGTCATGGCGGCAAGAAAACTGATGCATTACTTCCAGGGCCACAGCATTGGGGTGCTAACAGACTATCCCCTCCGATCAGTACTGCGAAGTGCGGAAGCGTTAGGACGTGTCTCAAAGTGGGCTCTTGAACTCGGCCAATACGACATTCAGTTTCTACCGAGAACTTCAATCAAGGGGCAGGTTCTTGCCGACTTTGTTGCCGAATTAACTGGGGGTCTTGCCGATTTCAAGTTCGTTGAGGAGAGTCGATCGGAGCCGAACTGGAGGATTTACATCGGGGACATTTGGCAGTTGTACTGTGATGGATCATCCAACCAGAGGGGCAGTGGAGCAGGAGTTATGATCATGGCTCTGGATGGCGCAATAATTGAGTAGGCCGTCAAGCTCGGCTTCGAAGCGTCAAACAACGAAGCCGAATATGAGGCTCTTCTAGCCGGGTTGAGGAATGCACATCTTCTGGGCGCTCGACGTTTGCTTGTATTTTGTGACTCAAAACTGGTGATCAATCAGCTAAAGGGGGAGTACGCGGCAAGAAACGACCGTATGGTGGCTTATATGAAAACGGCCAATTCTTTGCTGGCAAAATTCGACCATCATGAGCTCAACCAGATAACACGTGATCAGAACACACACGCAGATGCCCTTGCTTGCCCAGCCTCCGCCATCAACTCGGAGATTAAACGAACCATCGAGGTAGGATTCATCCCAAAGTCGAGCATTGGCTCTTCGGAGGAATTCCAGGTCAATGTTGTAGAACTTGGACCAAGTTGGATGGATCCCATTGCCACATTCCTCTCTTCCGAACAGCTCCCAGAAGATAAGAAAGAAGCACACAAGCTGCGAAACAAAGCTTTGCGCTACTACTTGAACCCGCAAGGAAGGCTTTATAAAAAATCCCTCTCTGGCCCGTATTTGGAATGTGTGTACCTAGACAAAGTCGAAGAGTTTTTTAATCAAATACATGAGGGCAGTTGTGGCGCCCATTCTGGCGGGCGGTCATTGGCCCACCGATCCGTGACGCAAGGATATTACTGGCCGACAATGAGAGCAAATGCCGAATGCTATGTGAAAAAATGCGAACAGTGCCAAAAGTTCTCTCCTTTGACCACCTGCCTGCTAAAGAGCAGAGCTCCATAACCAGTCCATGGCCATTCGCCCAATGGGGACTCGACATCGTCGGACCACTGCCTCGTGCCCCGGGTAACAAGCGATTTTTGTTTGTCCCGACAGATTATTTTACAAAATGGGTAGAAGCAGAGGCACTAACCCACATCCGAGACACCGACATGAAGCCATTCGTTTGGAGAAACATCATAACAAGGTTCGGCATCCCGAGAGCACTAATCTCAGACAACGGCACCCAATTCGATTGTGGCGTCTACCGAGAGCTGTGCAGCAAATACGATATACGGCCTTACTTTTCTACCCCGGCTTATCCACAAAGCAATGGTCAGGCCGAAGCCTCTAACAAATCTATCTTGGACGGCATCAAGAAGAGGCTAGAAAAGGCCAAAGGCAAATGGGTCGAGGAATTGCCAAGTGTTTTATGGGCTCATCGAACTACGCCAAGGAGGTCTACTGGGGAAACCCCATTTGCTCTCTGCTTCGGAACACAGACCATCATACCCCAGGAGATCGGCCTCCCAACCTTGAAATCGGCAATTTTCGATATGGGCCAAAACGATATGATACTGGCCTTGGACTTGGTCCTAATTGAAGAACGAAGAGACCGTGCCCTCGCATCCATGATGCGGTATCAACAGCAGTTGGCTAAGTCGTACAATCAACGTGTGTAGCTGCGCCGCTACACACCAGGAGAGTTGGTCCTAAAGAAGGTACTGCCAGCTACCAAGAAACTGGCTGATGGAAAATTAGGTCCTAACTGGGACGGCCCCTATGAGGTTGATTCGATCGCAGGAGTAAGGGTTAATCGGCTCAAAGACATGTCAGAAAGGAGTCTGCCACGGCCTTGGAATTCCACGCATTTATGCAAATTTTATCATTAACCCGACTTGTGGGACATAATGCTATGTACATCTTTTTTCTACTGTAATACAAAGATTCCCGTTCATTTATCACACATAGTTCAAAGGTGTCCCATCGGCGCAATGTGTTTTTGGGCCAAGAAAGCCTCCGGATTCGGAGTGCCCTTCGTGGATATCACGATTGGCCAAATCAAAGCCTCCGGATTCGGAGCGCCCTCGGTGCGAGGTGTCTTTGGGCTGAGAAAGCCTCCGGATTCGGAGCGCCCTTCGTGGATATCACGATTGGCCAGATGAAAGCCTCCGGATTCGAAGCGTCGTTCGTGGATATCACGATTGGCCAAATTAAAGCCTCGGGATTCGGAGCGCCCTCGGCGCAAGGCGTCTTTGGGTCCAGAAAGCCTCCGGATTCGGAGCACCCTTCGTGGATATAACGATTGGCCAGATGAAAGTCTCCGAATTGGGAGCGCCCTTCGTGGATATCACGATTGGCCAAATCAAAGCCTCCGGATTTGGAACACCCTCGGCGCAAGGCGTCTTTGGGCCGAGAAAGCCTTCGGATTCGGAGCGCCCTTCGTGGATATCACGATTGGCCAGATCAAAGCCTCCGGATTTGGAGCGCCCTTGGCGCAAGGTGTCTTTGGGCCGAGAAAGCCTCCGAATTCGGAGCGCCCTTCGTGGATATCACGATTGGCCAAATCAATGTCTCCGGATGTGGAGCGCCCTCGGCGCAAGACGTCTTTAGGCCGAGAAATCCTCCTGATTCGGAGCGCCCTTTGTGGATATCACGATCGGCCAATCGAAGTCTCCGAGTTCATAGTCAATCCAAATCTTTGGGCCAAAAAAGGACCCGCAGAAATTTCGCATGTGCCGAACAAAATTTTCAAATTCCGATTAAGAATGTTCAAACCGCACAAGCGTTTAATATAAATAACAAGTGCGCTACAACAAAGAATTGAAAATCAAGCATTTTATTAAATTCAACTAGTAAATACATAACTTCACTTTTACAAAGCATTACAAAGTATTACAAAGTTTTCTTCGGTTCGTCATCTTGTTCGTCATCGCTCTTTTCAATTTCAAATGCAGAGACGGGAAGATCATTCTGTTGATGCAACGGAAATGCCAAATTCAGCCCTGCTGCCCGGAGACTCTCCGCTTGCTGAAGCGCCTTGATCCAACCGTGCTTAAATCCGCGATTTTCGCATCGGCAGACTTCTTCGGCGAGCTTCTCCTTGGTCTTCTGAATTTTGATCTTTCGGCCGTCGTGGAAGCCTTTTTCATAGGTCGTTATCCTCGCAGTCTCGATCGCAAACATGCTAGCCGTATTTCGACCGATGAGTGCGTCGTTAATCAGCCTTTGAGTAATCTTCTCTTCAACAATCGAGTTGGGGTGGCTGGTCGATTGGGGCCCCGTAGACTTGATTTTCCTTAGTTCGCGCTCTGCCTTCTCGACGAGAGCCTCCAATTTTTGAATGCAGTCATCTCTCTATTCGATATCATAGTGAGCGGTGCGGAGACACATGCCAATCTCGTAAGCCGTATATAGTCTCCTCACTGCCTCGTGAATGCCTTCGCGAAACACTTCGAGATCCTGTCGACCTACCATCGACTACTGAACTTTGGCGGGAAAATCTGTCGAGCAAACTCGACTGCCACGTTTGGATCTCGAATGATTGAGTCTGCCTCTGTCACTGGTCTATTACCCACGAAGACCGCGAAACTCTAAGGACGAGGAGTCGAGTCAGATTGCCTACCTGGACCGGGTTGAGGAGACTTACGGTGAAGTTATTTGTCCTTCCTGGGCGACCTACTCTGACGATGAGGAGATTGGCATCTTTCCCGATCCCTCGAAGTCCTATTACCCTTATGTGAAGGCTCACCACTTCGACTCATGGCTCCTCCTAGCTCAGCTAGCGTCTTCGCTTCTCCTCTGTTGTTGAAGAAAAGTTTATCTAACATTTGCGCTTATTTAACCTTCCTCGAAATAGCTGGACTGAACTGTTGACTGAGCACGTAAATAGGACCCTCATTCACGAAGTACACGCCCATTTATTACCTGCGGGGCAGCACCTCCGAGGCAATCTCCTTAATGTCGAAGCGCCAAACAACCCGGCACCGACCGAGTCGTGCGCCGCGCACATGCCCCAACCGTTCCACCAATCAATTCTTCAACACCAGAATCATCATCAAAATATTATTCGGCGAGCTGTGATTATGGACCCACTGGGGCAAGGGCAGATTCATCAATCTATTCGGCCCGCACACCCAGTCGTTTCACGAATCGATATAAATGTGTTATTCGGTGTGCTGCGATTGTGGACCCGTTGGGCCAAGGGCAGATTCATCAATCTATTTAGCTCAAATGACCCAGGCGCTCCACAAATCAATTCAACACAAGAATCATGAAAACGTTATTCGGCGAGCTGCGATTGTGGACCCACTGGGACAAGGGCAGATTCATCAATCTATTCAGCCCGCATACCCCAGCCGTTCCATGAATCGATATAAACGTGCTATTCGGTGTGCTGCGATTGTGGACTCGCTGGGCCAAGCGCAGATTCATCAATCTATTCGGCTGAAATGACCCAGCCGCTCCACGAATCGATTCAACACAAGAATTATGAAAACGTTATTCGGCGAGCTGTGATTGTGGACCCGCTGGGGGAAAGGCAGATTCATCAATCTATTCGGCCCACATACCCCCAGCCATTAATGAATCGATATGAATGTGTTATTTGGTGTGCCGCGATTGTGGACCCGCTGGACCAAGGGCAGATTCATCAATCTATTCGACTCAAATGACCCAGCCATTGCACGAATCGATTCATCACAAGAATTATGAAAATGTTATTCGGCGAGCTGCGATTGTGGACCCGCTGGGACAAGGGCAGATTCATCAATCTATTCAGTCCACATACCCCCAGCCGTTCCATGAATCGATATAAACGTGTTATTCGGTGTGCCGCGATTGTGGACCCGCTGGGCCAAGAGCAGATTCATCAATCTATTCGGCTCAAATGACCCAGCCGCTCCACGAATCAATTCATCATCACAAGAATCATGAAAATGTTATTTAGCGAGCTGCGATTGTGGACCCCCAGGGGCAAGGACAGATTCATCAATCCATTCGGGTCAAATGCCCCAGCCGTTCCGCGAATCGATTCATCAACACAAGAATCATCAAAGTGTTATTTGGTTCCTAAGTTTGCCGGCTCACGTAATCTGATGCTCCTAATTGTCTACTCATATAACAAACAATACGAAAAATGTCTGGAAAAGCATGTAAAATTTTCATTCATAAAATTGAGCGCTAACAGCGGACATTTTACATATGAAAATCCAAAATAGACGAAAATCTACTAAACAAAAAACAGACATTGAAAGTAAGAAAAGCCTAGCAAAACTAGAATGTCTCCTAAATCAAGTCTCAAGGTCAGACTCAAGCGGCTCAACATCCACTTGCTCGTAAGGAATTGGCATGGCCAATGTAACTCCAGTGGCAGCAAGGGCTTTGAGCCAACCGTGTTTGAACCCCCGATTCTCGAATTTGGGAACCTCTTCTACATAGTCCTGAAAGGCGGAGTTTTTCCACGCCTCGAACGCCGCCAAAGACTCAGAGTCGGCTTTTTCCTTGGCCTGCTTCAACTCCTCAAACTCGGCCTCGAGTTTGGCAAGTGCCTCATTGGCTAACTTGAGCGATTCCTCGCTCGCATTTGCCATTTTCTCGGTATTAGCTCTGAGTCGATCCGTCGTCCTCGCTTTTTCCTTCTCGGCCTCAGCCCGTGCATTTTCCATAGCGGCTCTCGTCGCCTCAAACTCCACCTTGCTCCTTTGGCCCTTGACTTCAGATTGCAAACGGCCAATCCTTTCCACAGCGTCATGCTGGCGGCGGCCCAATTTTGCAATCCTTCCAACCATCTGCAATACAAAGGATCATCATATGCCGAGAAATATCAAGTGTAAACCAAACCAAACCAAAGTGTCACGTACCAGAAGAGCCGACTGGGCGGCTAAAGCTACTGTCACCAAATCCGGCTCGGAACGAATGGTTGCCTTGTCCGCCGGCAAGGAGATCGAGGCAGCCAGGCTTAGGGCCACGGCTGGATCTTTCAAAGCCGATGCTTCGGAGGAGATCGGCACATTTTTTTATCTTTGGCTCGATAACAAAAGGAGCAACGACGACCGACGACTTTAAGCATGGCCGCTTTTTAGTAGGAACCCCTTCCGAGCCGTCCTCACCCTCTGCGTTTCCCTTTTCGCTCCGTTCTTTCGAAATCGGCTGTATTTCCCCAATCGGGCGATCGACCTCTTTTTCTGTCTCGGCTACAATGACGTAAGTCGTTTCTTCTACAATAGCTGAGGCAACAGATTTAGACGGAATAAGTTCGGAACAAACGGCTACGGCCTTTTGTCAGGCGGCCAAACGTTCGGTATTCCTTTTTCGTTCCATCTGTGTCAGGCTTTCCCCAGCCATATCCTCAGAGAAATCGCCGGGAAAGTCGCCCAAGTTTGTAAAGATATCTTCGTAGGCGTCCCCTCGGCCTGGTGTAGACGGAGGGTCAGAAGAGTTCAACCTGGCTTCCTCAAAGGCCGAATTTATGGCTTCGTCAACTTCTGCAGTCAACTCCTCTGGGTCCTCAGCAATTGGTTCGACCACTTGTTCGTTCTCAGAGTTAGATGATTCGAGGCCGATCTGTCTCAAGTTTTTGAAGCTGGGGAAGATCAGGGCCGTCAGATGGTCATCGCCTCGCACGATGGGAATGTTGTCTGCCGCCGAGAAAGTAGTATTGGTGGGGTCGTACCGCAACAGAATATGGGCTGCCCTTCCTTGCTTTTTAAGGTCTGGACGGCTGAAGAACTGTAACGCAGTCTTGATTTCTGCGAGCACAACTTCGTCATCTGAGGACAACACTCTCTTCAAATCGCTGCCTGCATAAATAAAACAGTTAGGTGAGATACGGAGCCGAATAAATGCATACGTAAATGACAAAAACAAAGTGATCCGGTCGGCCACCTGGTTCGCCTTTTTGCCTTGGCACAGGATCTAGGCGATCTTCCCCTTCGCCGAATTCCCAATTGCCTCGGACTACGACCATCTCGTCGTCGACACGCTTGCCAAAGCTAGCAAGCATGGTCACTAAGTGGTGGTCAGTATCCTTGGCTCTAAGGAAGTAGCGTCCTAGCCGACCAGTAGATTTGGCAAGGACGTAACAGTGCCGAATGGCGGGGATACCTAAATTAATTCTAAGAAGCCGATTTATTTTTACGATTCCCATTATGATGCGGAAGAAGTTCACATTGGACTGGGAAGGGATGAGACCCCAGTATTGAAGGACGACCCTCAAAAGTGGGTGAAGAGGAAAACGGACGCCGCCCTCAGCAATTGATAGGAGAGGAAAGACGATCGAGTTCTCATCTTCCCTTACCATATCAGTGGTACTGTCTACCAGAAGTGACAGATGGACGTCGCCGGGGATGGAGAAATGGCGTCTAAAGCCAAAAATTCAATCCGCAGAAAGGAGATCCTTCAGGTGTTTTCCCATTTTTTGGTCGATCTAAGGATTATAAAAAAATAATAAAAAAAAACTAACTAAAAACGGATAAAGAAAAGAATAAAAAAGAATGTAAGAGAAAGAAGACTTACAGGAGGAGAAGGAAAAGGTGAGGAACAAAGGGTTGCAAAAGCCGCGGAGTACGGAAGTCCCACTAGAAGGTGAGCCTGATATCTTTGAGTATGCAAAACATACATTCGAAGAGGCAAATTCAAATCGCATTAAATGGAGGCAGCGTACGAAGGGGTGGGAAAGCGTTGCAATGACCAAGGAGCATGAACGCGTTCTGACACGAATCGGTAAGAGGAATAACCGCCGAATTTCTAACCTCCAGACCAGGAGCCAAACACGCCGACTAAACTATTACTAGTAGGGTGTTTGGGGGGCAATTGTGGGAGCCAAATAGATTCTGGATCAACAAGAGTAAGACAGGTCGGCCCCGAATGAGACTTCTATTCGGTATTTACCCTATCCAGTTGAGGGGCCGAGTATAAGAGCCGACATTCCTACTAATAAGTGCCGTGTAGGAATGCATTCTAGGGGCTAGGAGTGGGCCAGGCTCCCAGACCCAAGGAGAATACTATAAATAGGAGACCTGCAATCTTGGAAAGGTATGTGTGATAATTGTGTTATTTAACTTAGAATATAAGCAATCTAGAGCTTGGGATTGACTTGTCCGTCGGAGTGCTAATTTCGGCACACCTGACCGGAGTGTTTATTTCCTTTCAGGTGACTATCGGAGGATCACGAGCGCTCTCCAAGATCAAAAGAGTATTTTCAAAAACCACTTCTCCACAAAATCTGACAGAGTTAAATGATTGGAATAACTCTATCAGATTTGATTGTAAAATAAAAAATAAATTTATTTGTATAGGTGTTTTGCATGCCATCATGTTTGATTGGAAAAAACTGTCATATATTAAATAATTTTTTTACTATAATTAGCTTGTTTCAGATATTAAAATTTATTAATTTATATGGCACTTTTTGCCCCTTCACATTCATGACTTGCTATTGCTAGTATAGCAGAGCAAAGTTGCTTGCTGTTCGCTTTTAGTATATAGTAAGTTGACATTGGTAATAGGGCATAGTCAAATGGCTTTGGTTGGGTCTTAACATGAATATTATGGGTATTTACTTCTACGTATGATACACTAATTCCAAGCTTGGCAAAGACAAAAACACTTTACATACCTTGAATGCGAGTGAAAACATCCCAGTTGCTGAGACTCTTACCATCTTCAAGAATTGCTCCTTCAATGTGTGACAACAACATGGAAAAAGTCTAAAGAAGAGAGAGACGACACAATTTAGAAGGCAAGGAGAAGAACAGACATACTTGGTATGAAGAAGTGGTTGTTCCAAAGAAGAAACCATCTGGGAATTGTGATCTTTTGATGTCTTTGCTTCATTGAAGCTCTCAACAAAAAAATGAACAAAGGAAAAAAGGAGAAGAAAGTAGAGGTAGAAATGAATATACTTTTGTCTTTCATTTTGGTTTGTTTCAATTTGTCAAAGATTTCAAGATCAGTGTAACTATGAAAAGTAAGTAATGGGTATTCTGGGCATATTGGCTCATCTATCTATATATATATATATATTTTTTCTTCATGGGTTTGGTAAAGGGTTGTTTCAATTGTTTAGAATATGTTGATGCAATTGTGCTTTCCGCAACCACCACATTTGCCCCATCCCAATTCAACAATCTACATTTGGCATCATTCACGTGAGATCCACTATTCCTAGTTTCATTCTCATTATGTAACTATCATGAAAGCAAACATAAAATAAGCTAATAAATTAAAGACAAAATTAAGGTAATTAATAATGCCATAGAAAATTTACCCATGTGTGTAAAGTACAAACCATGCTCATTTTGATTACATCCAAAGCTGTTCTTTGTGGCAGCAGTATCCCCCAAGCCAAGTCCATAAAATTTTACTGTTACCAAAAACAAAAATAATCATTAGTGGATGTTTGTTTCAATGAAAATTAAGTTATACTAATGACATGCAGACATTTAAAGCCAAAGCAAGCACATATTTATGTGCATAGTAAATAATAGTGGTAATAGACCATACAAATGCTTCAATACACCAAATTCATTTTACATACCTTATTTGCTCTTTGAAAACCATCTTACTCAGTGACTACATTACTTCCAGCAAGAATTTCAAAACATGAGTATATGATATTGAACATAATTTTAAATGAATACCTCTCTGGCAACATGATCTGGTATCTCCATTGGGATATCATCATAACCCTGTCAAAACAAGAAAATGTTCAACCGAACTGTCGGCCCCATATTCTCAGTTGTTAAATAAATTTAGGGAAAATAAAATGAATTATTAACTAAATGTTCACTACCTCTAGTTTCTTATCTTCAAGATCAGGAAAGAATTTTGTCATCCCAATCTTCAAGCTTCATTAATAAGTAGTTTGGTCATTATCGAAAATTTAAAAAAGAAAAAAATAATAAAACACTGAAAAACACATATGATAAAGAATAGCATGGACTTTCTTGGTGCTGTAGCCACACATATCTGGACCAAACATGATACTGCATATAAACATATGATAAAGAAAATGAAAAACATCAACAAAGAAGGTAAGGTAACCAAAAGAGAGTAAAAGATATATATATATATATATATATATCAAAGAGCAACCTCCTTAAAAAATAATCTACAACATAAAAAAGAGCATGATAAACATCTTATGAGCCCCATATAGGATTCGGTTTGAAATTAAAATAAATAAACAAAAAATTATCAAAAAAGATCTTCATAAGTTTGTGATATGTATTGTAATGCGATGCCTTTGACTAATCAATTCTAAAGATGCCCTTTTGTTAGGATTTATCAAAATTTACCTTGCTTAGCCCCTAAGTAATTTGTGTCCTATTGAGGAACAGATCTAGGAAAATCGATGCACATTGCAACCGCCTTTTTTCTCTGCACAGCACTGCATTTCAATTTTAAGTGGAGGCCTTGCTGCTTCCTCGTGGAAAATTCTTACATACACAAAGATTCTTACCATCTAATCATTTTTTGCCCAGGTGGCTTTGTTTTAAAATATTAAAAACATTAAAATTAGAATGAGTAATGATTACTGGAAGACAACAAAAATCAACCCAATGTTGCGAACAACTACATTATTAAGAGTGCATAAATTACAGTTAATGATTCAAAAGCACCTCAACAAGCTCTTGAAGAGGTTGGGATCATAAACCATCATCTTCCATGCCTAATTAAAGTTCCAAAACCCTATCCTTTTGCCACTCGCATACAAAACCTAAAAACCTTATAACTTTACCAAAATTTCAGCCACATTAACTTATTAAATTCAGCCCCTTAGAACCCC